GCGTTGTTACACCCCTGCAACAGCCCAAGACGGCCGTTCGACTCTGAGGATGTGCCAGGCTCTTCGGGAGCCCGCTCGCAAGAGAGCAGCAGCCCAGCAACCCCCCTCTCCAGCTGGGCACAACGCCACTCACCGACCTAGTGGTATCCCGCCAAGCCGCGGGAATGGGATGGGGGTGAGCAAAGGCTTGCATTGCTTGGCGCCTTAGGGATACCACTAGGTCGGTGAGTGGCGTTGTGCCCAGCTGGAGAGGGGGGTTGCTGGGCTGCTGCTCTCTTGCGAGCGGGCTCCCGAAGAGCCTGGCACATCCTCAGAGTCGAACGGCTGTGTTGCGCTGTTGCAGCAGTATAACACAGCAGCCATGAGGTGACCACACTCATGAGCATCACCTGGCAATCCCCCTTTCCAGCCGGGCAAAGCGCCATTCATTGACCTAAGGTATTGCCAAGCCACGTGAGCACCTCATTCATTGAACTAGGGTATTGCCAAGCCACGTGAGCGCCTGTTCGTTGCCCTCCTGCTCCCGTGGCTTCGTGCCTACGAAATGCCCCTAGGTCAGTGAATGGGGCTCTGCATGGCTGGAGAGGTGGGTTGCATGAGCTGCTTTTCTGCTCCCTGCTCACGCACCTCCCAGCCTCACAATGCCCTTGCCTAATTCTCCCTGCAGAGCCTGGGCACCTCCGCTGTTGCCCACCACCACTGTTGCCACCGCCCCAGCATGACTTTTTCTGTGGCTTCCAAATCACGGAGGTAGGATGCCGAGGCTTCCAGAAGTTGCCACTCTGGGAATAGAGCAATCAGCCCACAACCATAAAACGTACTCCCAGAGCAGCAACTGCGGAAAGACTCGGCATCCTACCTCCGTGGTTTGGAAGTTGCAGAAAAAGCCATGCTGGGGAGGCAGCAGTGGCGGGCAGCGGAGGTGCCCGGCTCTGCAGGGAGATTTAGGCAAGGAATTCAGAGATATTTGTTTAAAATATAATCATAGTGTTGCAATAGGGAATTTACCCCAAATGTTGGGTTCTTTTACATTTGAACTAGTGTCAAGAGATTAGTGTTTCCACTGCCTCTGTCCGAGTTTGTGATTTGTGTTTCATGCCTGCATTAGGGCTTTGCCAGTTAATAATTTGTTATCTATAATGCAAATGGAAATTAATGCAGAAGAATTAGCTTTTAAATTTTACTATGTTTGCCAATCAAGGAAGCTAATACAGCAAAATTAAATCATTAAAAGTAATGCAATTAACATCATTTCAGTGCATACATAATTACAGATTATGTGTCTATGTTTCTTCCTTTTGCTGACACTCTATAGCAGGGGTGTCAAACTAACGTCATCATGTGACGTATTGGAACTTCCCCCCCTTTGCTAAACCGGGGGTGGATGTGGCCAGCACATGATGCATCCGGCCTGCGGGCCTTGAGTTTGACTTCCCTGCTCTACAGTGTATCTTCACATAGTATACAACTATGTCATTTGTACATACAGTTGCTTCTTTCTTCCTAATTTAAGATTAATTTACCTGTGCTGACAATATAAAAGGTCAAAACATAATATTGCTTTATGCTGAAACATTAAAACATGGGAATCAATGAGTTTCTTTGAGGTTATGAAGCTATTATTGCATTAAGTCAACAGGTGTCTTTAACAAAATAAAAAATAAATTGGCATTCTCAACTGGAAATAATTTGACGCTATGCGAGGAAAATTATTTTAAAAGAAATATGTAGGTTTCTCCATTTGCCAAATACTTTCTTTATTGACCATTTGCCCTAGTTTGAATTTCATATCTGTCCAATTCAAGAGGTAAAACAAAATAGGAAAACTAAAAGCTGCTGTGCATAATAAACCTCACTATGTTGTTCCTGTGATAACTATTTTTGAGCAGAACTAATCATGCTCATCAGATTATTTACTCAATTGGCCTTTATATCAAGTTGCAAAATAGCTCGTTATAGGTGGTATGTCAGGACATACAAAAGACGTTTGCCATATGCAGGTGCAAGCAATTTAAAGGACATCACTATCATCTTGTCTATATAATGCTATATGAATTTCACAATAAATGTTTGTTTGGAAATGTTTATTTCACTTGTATGCCGCCCTATTCCCGAGGGACTCAGGGCGGCTAACAAACCAAAATAAGGGGGGGAATACAAACAACAAACGAGACAAAAACAAGTTAAAAGATAAACAACAGTCACAACAAATTCGAATGGGGCTGGGAACTTATCAGCCCCAGGCCTGCCGAAATAGCCAGGTCTTAATAGCTTTGCGGAAAGTCTGAAGGGTGGTAAGGGTCCGGATCTCCACGGGGAGATCGTTCCAAAAAAGAGTAGTTGCGTTTTTCAAAAATAACAATCCCCAAATATTGTTGATTCTTTTGAATTTAATATTCTGTCTTTCCAAGAATTCACTTCCATTATTATTTGAAACAAAATATTGCTGAAAAAGCTATTTGTCTGCCAATATGGGTGTGTTACAGATGTAGCCAGTTTTGATTTGGTACTGAAACCAATTGCTTGAAAATGGTGTTTAAATTGGGTAAACAATTCAAAAAGGCCAAAGTATATCTATGGGAATTCGTTCATTGGCTAGAGTTTGGAGAAAATATATTGTCACCAACAGCATTTCTAATTAGCTCAATATCAAATATCTCTTAGTTAGTGGGTGACAGAATATCTGGATACTAGTTATAATTTCCTATAAATGACATTTTTAGATTTCTCAAAGGCTGTACTACAGAGAAGGAAAATAACTAGACAAATAATTAGATTATATATCCTTATATATCATGTTTGTTTAGCTTATCTAAGGCCATTCTTTGGAGGTTTCTACGTATTCATGCATATTTTACAATTATATATAGCAGAGTTGAGTTGTTATCTATGCCTTTTTAGCATAGATTTGATAATGTAACATTTCATTATGTACATTGCACTGCAGTAATAGCATATAATAATATGACTTATATGTAATATTACTTGTGCGGTCATTATAATTGCTAATAACAATTGTTTAATTATTTTGATAACATAAACTGTAAAATTTTCTAGTTACCACTGTTATATGTTGTTTGAGTTCAGTATACCTACTCCTAATACAGGAGTAGTTGATCTAGTCCCACATACAAAAACCAACTAGATGCATTTAAAAAACTCAAAAAAGTAAATGGA